TGGATGTTGAATGATGGGTTAATGTAAAATATGTACTTGTCTACTAAGACTCTCTAAAGACTCCCTATAGTACCTTGTGACCTATGGGAAAGCCCTCATTTTCAGTGCTTTTTGACAGTATTCCTCTTCGAGCTCTGTTGATTTCAGTCTGGTACCGATGGCTTAAATAAACATCACTTCCTCTGCAGCACTTGTCTTATGCTGTGTAACATGTATTTGCAGCTCACCAGTGTGTGGCATACAATGTAGAAAGAAAGTGAGCCCTTATTCTGTGATCCAAGTAGCAAAAATCTACTCTGACACGTTTGTCATTTGAGCATTGTTTGAACTCTTATTTCAAATGTTAGTTGCTTGTCAAAATCTAAACCTTTTCTCAAGGAAATGTTTTCTTTCTGTCTCAGCTTGGTGTGGAATTTCAAGAGTTTATGTCACTACTTTTCTGTTGTTTTTTTTTTTATCAGACTGGAGTTTTTTTTTTAACTAGACTTTTGCTTCTCCTTATTTGGATGTTGTAGAAAGTGGCCTCCACATCACCTGCAGAGCAAGAGTTAGTACTCTCACATTGACTGTATTGCTTATCAGTCTCTCCTTTTTCAATTCAGTCCACTGGGTCAGGATGCGCAGGCTGAGGACTGAACACAGAAGGCCCTAGTACACAGACCTTGTACTCTTTCAGTTGGAAGTGAATGGTGTCCATTTTTTCATCACTCCATCATCTGAATCCAGTCCACTGTACAATTCATAGTGTACTATGCTTCCTACAGGGATAGCAGATAGTGCCCATCTACCCTAAAGGTGTATGTGGGAGACCGTATAGTGTGCCATAGCACTGTGGATGATGTTTTGCTGTTTGCTGTTAATTTCACAACCTTTCTGAATGGAGCAAGACGCCTTCATCCACCGTGTTTCCTTAAGAGCCCACACTTGATCTTTGTAAGCTCCTTTGTCTAAACTGGGTGCTGGACATCATCACCTATTCTACATGTGGCCTAGATACCTGGCACTTATCATGAACACCCGTCACTCTGCAAGGAGTGCCTCCTCCTCTTGGCCATTATGTAGAGGTGTGCTGTTCCAGTACATCTGAACTGTTTCTACCTTTCCAGTTGGTGCTAAGTTGGGTTGGTTCTTCTTTGTGTTATCTGGGTGATGTTCAGCACCCAGCGGTTCGGAGGGGCCAAACAGAGTATGTTACGTATGTAACTGTGGGTTTGTGAACACCGGAAAATCTACAGGGTTCTCTGTCAATCAGTACCAGCACCGATCCAGTGGGAACGCAGCAAGAAGGTTTCAGGGAAACTATGGCTGTATGACGACATTCTTTATATCACATAGAATGTCACATGACCACTTTCTGACTTTTTTTTGCATGCACACAAGAAGGTTTCTGGGTAATATTCATTGTGCCTGGTGGTTATCTGATATTCACAGAATCATTATACATATACACATGATAGTGTTAAGTGATTTGTCAAAAAAAAAAAAAAAAACTATAATAGAGCTTTTCTGACTAATACAGATATGTTACCTAGTCTCTCATGCATGATGACAGCAGATATGTGGGATTAAAAATAGGGAATTTATTTTTAAAAATGGGACTAAATTTAGGATTTTAATGTTGAGATCAGTGTCCCCAACATTACGACTTATTGATTACCATTTCCATTACTCAAACATTTTTTACAGAAAAGCTGTCCCATGTTGCATAACATTCATTGGAGAGTCTAGTCTGAAGTGATGGGCAGAAGTCCAGTGTCCTCATTAAGAGGCTGCTGCACATGCTTGGCTGTGTGTCATATCTGAGAGAGCAACAGGCTCTCATGATTACAGATTTGGGAGTCGGGAAGATTAGCAGGCATCACTGTTCTTATTACAACATTTAAATGCAGTTCAATAAAATTGCCCTAACCCTAACCCTAACCCGATTCATTAGAATGCATAGGGATTTTATACAAGATTGGTGAGGCGTCTGAAGGCCTGATCACACAGCCACTCCAAATACCACTCAAGCTCCATAGTCCTCCATCTCTGCCAAAATGATTGTACTGGGGAAATACTCCACCCCTCCACTCATGTGCTGTGGATTTCCCTGCAAAAACTCCCCTCTGCCTTGACCAACTCCCCTTTCCTTTCTGGATGATGTCAGTACACAGACTCAGCATGTCGGTGAAGAATTGTGGAATGGGGGAGTACGAAGCTTTTTGAGGATGAGAAATAACTACAGGGTAGTATACAGATATAAAAAGTGATTTTGTTTTCAGGTTTTAAAAGACAGCTGTGTGGTATTAAAGGAAATACAAGAAAGAGAACAGAGAAAATAAAAGGAGAAGTGAGGAATATGGCCGTGTACCTACATCAGTTGTATATTTCGTGTTTCTTGGTAAAGATTTGCTGAGTAATTTTTTTTTTACCAGCTCCAGTCTGTGGCTCAGAGCCTCCAGATTGTACATGCTGAAATGTAAACACTGCCCAAAAATATCTGGATCTTCACAAGAGTGTGTCGGTCTTGTTAAAGATCTTAAACTATGTAGGTCCTAATGCATTGTGATCGAAATGTTTAAAATCCTAGATATATGAAACTTACATTTTACACACTTATCATGTTCCTCTAAAAGTAACAAATATCAGCCTATTCTTTGGTTCGGTGCCTATCTTTGTTTTAAAACCTTCAATCATGAACTTTAATTTCAAACATCTGTTGCCTTCTTCCACCATATATCATGTGCAGAAACGTAAAAGAGAAACCTGTTTATTGATCTGGAATGATCCCCTGCCCCACCTGCTAGAACTTGTTTTTTTAAATGAAAGCATTTTCCTGGAGGCAGCATTTCTAGGCATCACACTGTCAGAAAGCACAATATCTGCACAGTAAACACAGAGAGGTAATAAAAAAAGAAACACAACAAAAACATAAAACAATACGGACGTTTCTAGCTCTGAATACATGCTCGCTGCAGGCTATAATGGAGAGGTACAGTGAGTGTGTCCCTCATTGTTGGTAAGCAATCAGTCCTGTTCAATAAATAAAAGCAGGCAGTCAGCAGATCAAGTTTCAGGCCCGTGTGCCACATCCCTTCCTGCCTGACAGAGATAGAGCTGGAGAATGAGGGAAGAAGTGAGAGAGAGATGGGAGGGTTAAAAGAATGGGTAATCTAAATAGAGATGTGGAGATATGTTTTGGGTTTGTCTAAAAGGAGAGTGTTTTCAGTTTCAATTTCTCCAGTGCTAGAGAACATGAATGACTTAACACGGCAAGAGGGAAGAAGAGGGAAACCATAAACAGTGGAAGAGTGGAGATATGGGTGCTTTAGCATGGCTTGTGGTACATGGCCATATGCATGTTTGCTGTGAAATCTGACTCATCATGCAGTAACATTATGCAAATGAATGCACTGGCAGTGTTATAAGGGTCAGCACTGACTGAGTCTGTTTGCAGACTGACCCACACAGTCTATCACCTTAATATAATGGCAGAAAAACAGCATATTAAATTAATTCCCCAAGGACTTGTTTAATATGGTTAGATATTTACCTAAGTTCCAGAACTTTTGCCCATAATCAAACACAAACCCATAGAAATACCAGACAAACGCCCACTGGCCGAAAGTTACAATGAGGTGGCGTATGGTGACAATATTTGTGTAAACATACTGATAGAAATGGGAATGTGGGTTGTGGGATGTAGGATGTGGTGGCTCGCTAGACAGACACACACACACACACACACACACACACACACACACACACACACACACACACACACACACACACACGCACGCGCGCATGAACTGTCTTAAAAGCTACAGCACAAACAAAACCCAGCAGAATCCAATCCACCCAAACTGAGAATCATAATGAGGCTATGTGCAACTTTTTCTCATAAGCAGTACTTAATTTGTGCCGGAACTTATTTTATGCCAGAACAGGATCCGATACCTCTCAAATTCGGAGTGCCTGCATTCTAACACTTATTTGGATAAATAAAATAATAATAAAATCATTTTAATCAATGGTCATTCTTTAATACAATCATCTCATTTCCATGATGACCAATTGGTAACTAATAATCATAGCATACCCACATTATCAGTCACATCTTCTCATAAATTGTGGATTTGGTGAAAAAGCAGCTGACTTTGATGTCATTTCTTAAAGAAGTAAGCAAAAGTGATGGGGCAGAACAAGATGCAAAAAAAGGAAGGGAGGCGTCATTTCTATTTCTGAAACTTGAAACAAAATTCCACCCTGTGCTGGATTTTTGGATGAACAAAGCAGAGTAAATTATATGACTGTGTTATGAAGTAATTTAGATGATTAGGCAAGATAAAAGGTCTTTTTGCATAATCTGATCTGGAAACTCAATATCTCTCAGTGTCCCTCTCAATGTCCTTTACTTTTAATATTACACCACATTCATTGGTAAATGTTAGACAGGATCATCCTTATTTAGACTGACATTAGGTCCAGAATGTATTCATTAATCGTAATTAAATATGTTGTTTGTTTGTTTAGAAATCTTTAAAATGTGTACTGATGCATACTTATGTAATAATTTACTATCTAAACATGCTTATGTAATTATTGACTATCTAAATTATTTACTATTATTTAAACAATTTTATGAAATCTACAAAGTCTCAGAACAGTTGTTACAATATTCTTTGAAGCCTTACAGATCAAATATTATCTAGATCCCTGCATTCAGTGATATTACATCACACAATACTAAGGGACAGAGGCGTCACTGACACCACAGCTGTGTCTTTGTCCTTGTGTGTGTGCGTGCACACAGATAACTCTCAGAATAGACACACTAAACACACTGGTGGAGAGAGTATGAGGCCTGTGTTTGTAAAGCTGTCTGTCATTCTACTGACACTTTCACCCTGCTGCCAAGTGGTAGGAGACAAACAGACTCATTATTTGTCTCAGTAGCACTGACTTACAGAACATACAACTGAGCAGTTGAGGGTTAAGGGCTTTGCCCAGCAGGGACAGCTTGGCACTGCTGGGATTTGAACTCAAAGCCTTCCGTTCAGTAGGCCAATGCCTTAACCACTGAGCTACCACTGCCCTACGAAGAGCTACCTTGTTCCTTCCCTTTTACCTGTCACCCCAGAGCTTGCTGTTACTTCCAGTACACTCTTACTTGATTTACTCCAGGGTGATTTATAGAATCATTGCAGTCCCATTCGTTTCCTTACAGAATAATACTTTTCCTTATAAGTGTCTGATAAATCAGCAAGCCACCCATCAAATGTCACAGCACATCCTGCACCATTCTGTTCATCATTATTTGTACACTGATCTATCTTAACACTTTGCCCTTGTATTAACTTATGTGTGCTGACTGAATTGCAGGAGTGATGATATTTGAATAGGAATTCTCAGTTATTGTTAGATCCCAAAGGAGTTCTCGAGTGCAAAGCAGGGCAAAGTGGCTGTCTCTATTTCCCTCCCTCCCTCTCTCTCTCTCTCTCTCTCTCTCTCTCAGGCTTGCTACTTCTTTTCTTAGCTGCATGCAGGTGTCTCTTGACAAAAGCCTCCTGATCTCCTGATGTCTTCACTGATAGGCTTCAAAGCACATTTAATCTGGATTACTCTCTTTATACGCTCTTTCTTGCACTCACCTTGTGTTATTTTTTTTTATATAGGTGTTAATCATTGTTTTGTTTGTTCAAGACATGCGTTCACAAACATTCATGGGCGCAAACACACACACACACACACGCGCACACACACACACACACACGTGCACGCACACACAGTGTGTGCTACCTCTCTCTCAGTGGGACCATATGCCACTGAGCGCTTTTCTCTGTAATGTTACTAGCTGTGTGCCAGTACATCAGTGTCCTTCACTCTCTCATCTTGACCAGTGGAGCATATACAAGGCATTGTTTACAAATGCCAACTTCACATGTAAGTAATACTTGGGCTCTAAGTGAAATTACTAACCATGGAGTAGCTTAGCCTTAGTGCCTCCTGGAGTTGGACAGAGGATGGATTACAGTTGCCATTTTTTTTTTTTTTTTTTTTTTTTTGTTTGAACAAACAATTAGGATGTTCAGTTCTACCTTGAATATTCTTAGTGAGAGCTAGTATATGCACATAATTCTGTAGAACCTGTTATAGTTTATGTGCATATGTGAATATATATTGTATGGCCAAAGGTTTATGGACAATTCCAAATTTAGTCCCCCGTTGCTCCACACTTCTAGGAAGACTTTCCAGTAAATTTTAGAGTGTGACTGTGGGGATTTGCTCATTCAGCCACAAGAGCATTAGTGAGGTCAGGCACTGATGTGAGGAGATGAGGCCTGGGGCGCAGTCGACATTCCAATTCATCTTAAAGGTGATCAGTAGGGTTGAGGTCAGGGCTCTGTGCAGGCCACTCGAACTTCTTCCACACCAACCTTGGTAAATCATGTCTTCAAAGAGCTCGCAATGTGCACAAAGGGCATTGTCATGCTGGACCATATTTGGACCTTTTAGTTCCTGTGAAGGGACATTGTAATGCTACAGAATACAAAGACATTCTATACAATTGTGTGCTTCCAACTTTGTGGAAAAAGTTTGGGGAAGAACCACTTGACGTGAAGGTCAAATGTCCATATATATTTGGTCCTATAATGTATTGTTCATTTATTGAGATGTATACATTTATAGAAATTTATTCTTATACAACATGGATTAAAACATTGTTTTCTGTGGATATGCAAAACTATTATTAAACTATTATGTTCTTAAATTCAGTATAACCACCATGTAAAATAATTCCGATCATAATTTTAGAAATTATCTTGCCATCCAACTTTAGGGAGTTTGAGTTACTGTTGCTGTTTTTCTTCTGCTAAACAAGCTACTCTATTTGATAGGCATTTTTTGCATTGCTGGCTTTTCTGTTTTCTCTTGTTCCTAAAGATAGGTGGGTCTTCTTAATTATCTTCTCCCTGTTTAAACTTGCACTGCTATCCATACCCTGAAAACATGGAGTTTTCTCCATGTGCATGAGCAAAGCTAATGACTGTCTTGTGCGAACACAATGTTTTATACAGCAGCGGAGTCAGTGATGAGTAAGACATATCCAGTGTGACACATTTATCATGAATGTCCATTAATTGCTCTGGTATGATCTAGCAATGATCAGTCAGAAACATGCTCAGCACTTTGTCTGTCCAAACATTCATAGACGAAACATAGAGATGCTGGATGTCAGACCCAAGAACCAGACACAAAAGTCTTTTACAAATGCTGGGAGACATCATATACATAGTGCTACAAGAGCTGCAGTAGATCCAACACAATCTATTATGTTACAGTAAGACAATTCCAGTTTTAGCTCAGTGTCATGTGGTAAAGATGTGATAGATGCTATTTGGTGAAACTGATCATACTATGTTGTTTTTTTGGCAGGAAATCATTAGGTATTTTCTCTTAGGGGTAAACTATTGATTTCCTCTGAATCAGTGTTACTTCCAGCCTTCTATTTAAGTGCAAGGTTAGACAGCGATTGAATTAAACAAATAGGGTTTTTTTGTGCTTATTTCAAAAGTGTCTCATGCAATGTGCATGCTTTATAACAATGGATCATTCAGTTGTGCTATACCGGCTAGCTAGCTATGAGAGAGCTGGTTGAAAAATGAGTTTCTTTAGTGAGTAGGTATAGTTGTAGTGAGTACAACTGTTTAAATCAGATGTATTAACAAGACATAGGTTTGGTTATAACAAAATGAAAAATGATGACAACAACAACAACAAACACAATTACATGCCTAGAACTATTCCGCTTCCTCTGTTATGGTATTTTACATAAAAAAAAAAACAATTAAGTTGCTAAGCTATTCTTTTTTTATCTGTTTAGTCTGTGATCCCACTTCTGTCCTTGTTTCAGTTCAGTTACTGCTAAAAACCTGCTGGTCACATTCGACGACAGAGTCGGATGTTTGCTAGCTAGCCTAGCAGTCAGGTGTCATGAATTTTCTAACAAATGTTAGCTAGCTTGCTAGTACTAAGGTCTCTACTAATAGTCTTTCACTGGAAAACTCAGCTAGCTGTTTTTTTAAATTGGGGTTATTTAATTTTATTTGAAACATTTTTTGTAGCATGATGCTGTAAGAGTTCACAAAACCAGGTTCATTTTGTTCAATGGAGATAAGATTCTTAGAACTGGTAGCTAGTAGACTAGTAGGTAGCTAGTCACTAGCTACATTTGTAGATTAGCTAGACAGAACTGTCCATGCTAATTTAGTGAAGGAACAGAGCTAAATATTTTAACAGCAACTTTCCATTCAAACTATGACACATACACAGCCCTACATTTTGTGCCAAACTTCTCATAATATTCTGATTTTTCTATTCAATCGCTCTTCCTCTCTGTCCTGATTTCCCTACTGAGTGGAGAAGGGGAAGAGTTTTTTATTATTATTACAGTGTGTATATTGCTTCAAATATTATTATTCAGTATTTTCTTTGGGATTGGTATTAACATGTCTGTACAATCCATATCCAAATCTATACCCATGACTGACAGACACTTCTGGAAGAATTGAAGAATTGTGGTAATAAAATTGAACTTGCTTGACATTAGAGGCATTAAAAAAATTAAATCAATGCCAAGGGTGTGCTTATGTTTTGTGCATGTTTTGTGTTCTCAACGATGTGTAATTATGAAATAGCTTCATTCCATGAGTTTTATGTCATTCTCCCTTAAATTCTCCCTTAGAGGTAAATATAATAATATAATCAGTTATGAAGATGTCATAGTAAGGGTGTGTGTGTGTATTAATGGCTCAACATTTTAATGCCTCCAGTGCCTGATGATGATGTGTGCTACATCTCTTGTGTGAAGAGTTGGTACTTGCCCACAACCTGTCATAACAGTCAACATTCCTGTAGTAACAGACTCTGGATCTAGAAGTGGTGCCACTTCAGCTGCCTGTCTGGAAAGTTTTTTTTTTTTTTTAGCTTTTGAATATAAACTCAAGTTTGTGATTATTTAAAGTTTTTTTTCAATGATTTAAGGTGCTTCAATAGTGTACTTAGAGATTTATATTTGACAGTGGAAAAGGCGCTTCTCATAACAGAGAATTTAGCTTTCTAGACTGATCTGCCAACATACACACGTTTACACGCAGTTTATTCAAACAGAGCTAGATACACCTTATGGCTGATAAAGGTGACTCAGGCCCTGCTCTGACCCACACAGAGGGATCACCTGTCATCCATTGACCAGATGCCTGGGTTTTTGTCTGAGGCAGTCCACCCCCCCAAGCACGCACGCACACACACACACACACACACACACACCAGACAGAGAGGTCTTTGAGTCTGTGAAACATGTGCCTCCCCTTCTCTCCTTTCCTTCTTTATCACTCTTAAGCCCTCCTTTTCACACATTCTCTGACTATTATTTATTTTCTATTCACTCTACATATGTCTAATTAATGGAGTAAGTAATTATATACTTGTTTGCCATGGAGGCAAGCAATATGTACGTCCACACAATTGCATTACAAGAAACTGGAAGAACTTTGTCATATTGGCCAAGAAATGTCCTCCATAAACACTTTCAGATGATTACACAAATGCACATTAACCCTCTCTCTCTCTCTCTCTCTCTCTCTCTCTCTCTCTCTCTGTTTAAACAGTACCTCACCCTGGGCTGTATGACTCAGCCAATGTCTCTATTCCGTGATCCACCCAGTTAAGACGTGTCTGAATAATTTAAATACATTTTAGAGAGTTTACGGACTTGCTTTACTGTGTGGAAAAGCCTGTAAGGACTAACCTCTGTTCTCCTCTCCTAAACTAAGATTATTTGATAATAAAGAATGTTTTCTTATTTGCTGTACTTAGAGTGAATTCTTTTTTTTTTCTTTTGGATTTTGCACCCATTTGTTTGTATCTCACAGCTGTTTTGATGTCATCACTAGTGCATGTGGAATGACTGTTGCCAGTGTGAGACATCTAGTGGTGAAATCTGTCAGTACGTGCATCCCTGAAGGAAGGAGCTTATTTGTGCTGATGTCTCTGTCTTGCTCTTCTCCCTCAGGTAATGAGTGAACATGGAGG